CAGTTTGCCTACCGAGCAAACAGGTCAGCGGACGATGCAATTAACATGGCACTGCATTACATCCTGCAACACCTCGACTCCCCAGGGACCTATGCACGGGCCCTCTTTGTGGACGTCAGCTCAGCGTTCAACACCATCATCCCAGACATCCTCCACCACAAACTGACCCAGCTCACTGTACCTGCCCCCACCTGTCAGTGGATTACTAGCTTTCTGACAGACAGGGAGCAGCAGGTGAGACTGGGGAAAACCACATCCTGCTCCCGGACAATAAGCACAGGTGCCCCCCAGGGATGTGTGCTCTCCCTCTGCTGTTTTCACTCTACACCAACAACTGCATCGCGAAGGACCCCTCTGTCAAGCTCCTGAAGTCTGTTGATGATACAACGGTCATTGGTCTCATCTGAGACAGCGACGGGTCAGCCTACAGACGGGAGGTTGAGCAGCTAGTCCTGTGTCCTGTAGCCGCAACAACCTGGAGCTGAACACACTCAAAACAGTGGAGGTGACTGTGGACTTCAGGAAGAACCCCCCACCTTACCTCTACCTTACATTGATATCTTAGTACCAATATAATATCAGGTTCATCATGAGTCATTTACCCATCATTCCAGTGGGGCTTCAGATGTTTCTTCATGAGCTCCACAACTCCATCAAACCACTGCCAGAAGGTGAAGTTGCGTCCAGGTAAGCTCTCCTATACAAATGAAACGTATTTCATTGGTACAGTTACATGAAACCAGGTGACTGAGAAATCAGGTTCATCAGTGTTTACAAACACTGTAGCACCTAGTTACGGTAAAATCCATGCACCAGGGCACTAGTAAGAGTTCATCCCTAAATGTATTTTTTAACTATAGCTTAAGTCTTTCAAGTCTTCAATAAGCAATAAGATGCTGCCACTGACGGGCTTTTTAGTGAGAGAACATCTTTTTTCTTATAGTGCAGATCTGAATTTTACAGTGAGCTACAGAAGTGTGGGTGGTGCGGAAACAAGCTGGACTCACTCGATTGAACTGGGCCCAGGATATGGTCATGTTACGGTAATCGTCAGGGTTGTTGCTGCTGCTTGTAAAAGCCTTCTGTGCCAGAAAGACCAGGTTATCATCTGAGAGGCCACGCCCACTGTGCATCTCTGCCTTGTACTTCATATCGAGGGCCTCACACAGCTGGGGCCACAGCACCTTGTCTGGCACAATGAATGGCACCCTGCCCTGAGGAGACAAAGAGAAGGGTGGAAAACATGGGAAAATGAATATATTATTAAATCTTGATTTTGTACACCAGAGTGAAAACATGAAAATAGACTAGGGCAATGAACAGGTTCACATCCTCACTATGCAGTACTCATCATGGCTGTTGTGACAAATATGAGAAAATTACACCTTTCTGGTGTTTTCTGAGATTGGAGGGGCGCTGCTCATTTTGCTCATTTCCAGGCATTTAATATTTAATCTTGGATACTTCTAGATTAGCTCTGCACCCCTCATAACTCCAAATAGTCTAATTACTTCAGAATCATAAAACCAAAGAGCTTCTTCCTAAAAATGAGAGGACAGTCCGTGAATGCACACAGCTCCTGCTGCCGGTGTTGTGTCGCAAGTGAACAGCACAATGAACCATGACGGCATTAATTAATCTGAATTTCTTCTCCTGATAGTTAAACAACAGTATAAGTACCAATGAAAAGAGATGTGTAACACTCTAAACAAAGCGGGTAATTGAGAAACCCCATACTTTAACTGGCACAATGCAGACATAGCAACTTCTCCAACCTTACAACAATTCTCTCTAATGTTACACAAGGCATTAACAGACATGCAACATGTTTTTTTACTTAGCAAGAGTATGAGAGACTTGTATAATGTGAGTTGCTTCTACATAGAACATACGTACACTTTATTTTTTCATGTTTCCGTACTGTGCATATGATTATATTTGTTTTAACTTGCTGTTTAAAGTGCCTTCGGATTTTATGGTACCGTTTATCCACCTTATATTTCACTTGTGGTTTGGCATTCAGGGTGGACGGCAAAGTAAGAATTTCTTTGTGCAGGGAAACATGTTTCCATACTGTGCATATGACAATAAACACTTTGAATCTTTTTTGAGCTTTAGATGATAATTCACCATGTAGTGTAGATACTGTAAGTCAGAAAACAAGGAAAAGCATGCCATGGGCTCTTTAAGGGAGATACAGTGGGTACGGAAAGTATTCGGACCCCCTTAAATTTTTCACTCTTTGTTATATTGCAGCCATATGCTAAAATCATTTAAGTTCATTTTTTTCCTCATCAATGTACACACAGCACCCCATATTGACAGAAAAACACAGAATGTTTGACATTTTTGCAGATTTATTAAAAAAGAAAAACTGAAATATCACATGGTCATAAGTATTCAGACCCTTTGCTGTGACACTCATATATTTAACTTAGGTGCTGTCCATTTCTTCTGATCATCCCAGAGATGGTTCTACACCTTCATTTGAGTCCAGCTGTGTTTGATTATACTGATTGGACGTGATTAGGAAAAGCCACACACCTGTCTATATAAGACCCTACAGCTCACAGTGCATGTCAGAGCAAATGAGAATCATGAAGTCAAAGGAACTGCCTGAAGAGCTCAGAGACAGAATTGTGGCAAGGCACAGATCTGGCCAAGGTTACAAAAAAATTTCTGCTGCACTTAAGGTTCCTAAGAGCACAGTGGCCTCCATAATCCTTAAATGGAAGACGTTTGGGACAACCAGAACCCTTCCTAGAGCTGGCCGTCCGGCCAAACTGAGCTATCGGGGGAGAAGAGCCTCGGTGAGAGAGGTACAGAAGAACCCAAAGATGACTGTGGCTGAACTCCAGAGATGCAGTCGGGAGATGGGAGAAAGTTGTAGAAAGTCAAAGAAAGTCAACCATCACTGCAGCCCTCCACCAGTCGGGGCTTTAGGGCAGAGTGGCC